TCCACCCTTCCCCCCAGCCCTGCTCTGCCTTTTCCCACCCCTGCTCCAACCCCACCCACCCCCACTCTCTCCCTGCCCACCCCTCCCCCGAGGTGTCCCCTTCCCCTCTCCTGCCCACCGCAAAACAGCTGTTTGCGTCAGGCAGGTGGTGCTGGGAGGCAGGCGGGGGGGCGGCACTGGAGGGGAGGGGGTTGGCTTCCAGTGGGTGCTGAGGTGCTCTGGGGCTGGAGCTCCCAGGGAGTTGACACGCACACGCCCAGGCCATAACCACGTATGTCCTTTGGGCCCTGAAATACGAAGCCAGCAGGAGATTCATGCTGGTCCAGTGAGTCGCCTTTTGTGTCACCAGGGAAGTGCCTTGTCTCTAACCCATCCTCCTGGGATGGGGAGGGGCGGTTACACCTGTTTCATTTCACGGAAACTTGTAAAATCCTCTTCCCTTCCCCCCAGCCCCTGTACGCACCTCCCCCCATGCCGCTTTCCCTTTCGCTCTGACACAGGGCACGTCACCCCAGCTGGGACCAACCCTGGCACGGAAAAGCAGCCGTGGGAAGGGCCCAAGGATCAGTCCCTGCTTGCTTCCAGCCGGGGCAAGGCCAGGGCCAGGGCCAGCCTGGTTTCAGCGTCACTCCCAAGGCCTTTAATGGCAGCCAGCTGGGCCGAACCGAGGGGACCCGTTCACATTTAGCTGGGCTTTGGCGAGCAGAGCGCTCAGGCGGCAGAAGGCAATAAAGCTGGAGCTGACTTGCCACAAAGGCCTCCCTTGCTCTCAGCCAGATGTTGTTCTGTGACAGATGAGTGTTGTGGGGCCATTTGTCTTCGTGGGACCAGTGGGGCAGGTGTGGTCTGACCCTGCAGCAAGGCCTCATGCTTGTCTTCTCAGCTGTAGCCGCAGCCAGGGAGCTGCCACACAGCCACACCCCGTGCCAGCCACCCGGAGATTGCCCTCCAGTGCAGCCGGAGAATACGCCCAGTATAACCGGAGATTGCGCCCAGAGCTGCCGGAGAAAGCGCCCAGTGCAGCCGGAGATTGCGCCCAGTGCAGCCGGAGATTGCGCCCAGTGCAGCCGGAGATTGCGCCCAGTGCAGCCGGAGATTGCGCCCAGTGCAGCCGGAGATTGCGCCCAGTGCAGCCGGAGATTGCGCCCAGTGCAGCCGGAGATTGCGCCCAGTGCAGCCGGAGATTGCGCCCAGTGCAGCCGGAGATTGCGCCCAGTGCAGCCGGAGATTGCGCCCAGTGCAGCCGGAGATTGCGCCCAGTGCAGCCGGAGATTGCGCCCAGTGCAGCCGGAGATTGCGCCCAGTGCAGCCGGAGATTGCGCCCAGTGCAGCCGGAGATTGCGCCCAGTGCAGCCGGAGATTGCGCCCAGTGCAGCCGGAGATTGCGCCCAGTGCAGCCGGAGATTGCGCCCAGTGCAGCCGGAGATTGCGCCCAGTGCAGCCGGAGATTGCGCCCAGTGCAGCCGGAGATTGCGCCCAGTGCAGCCGGAGATTGCGCCCAGTGCAGCCGGAGATTGCGCCCAGTGCAGCCGGAGATTGCGCCCAGTGCAGCCGGAGATTGCGCCCAGTGCAGCCGGAGATTGCGCCCAGTGCAGCCGGAGATTGCGCCCAGTGCAGCCGGAGATTGCGCCCAGTGCAGCCGGAGATTGCGCCCAGTGCAGCCGGAGATTGCGCCCAGTGCAGCCGGAGATTGCGCCCAGTGCAGCCGGAGATTGCGCCCAGTGCAGCCGGAGATTGCGCCCAGTGCAGCCGGAGATTGCGCCCAGTGCAGCCGGAGATTGCGCCCAGTGCAGCCGGAGATTGCGCCCAGAGCTGCCGGAGATTGCACCCAGTATAACCAGAGATTGCCCTCCAGTGCAGCCGGAGAATACGCCCAGTATAACCGGAGATTGCGCCCAGAGCTGCCGGAGAAAGCGCCCAGAGCTGCCGGAGATTGCACCCAGTATAACCAGAGATTGCCCTCCAGTGCAGCCGGAGAATACGCCCAGTATAACCGGAGATTGCGCCCAGAGCTGCCGGAGATTGCGCCCAGTGCAGCCGGAGATTGCGCCCAGTGCAGCCGGAGAATGTTGGGCGCTTCCCTCTGGCATGTGTTTTGTTTGTTTCATCTCTCCCAGGGCCACGCTTGCAGGGAAGTGAAGTGGAGACGGCGTCGACTCGGGTGATTTAGGCGATACCTGGGGAAAGACTCCTGAGAAGCTCCAGGGA